ATTGTAAAAGAACATTTTTGATATTAAGATGATGAAAACTGTAAAGACTTCAGATTTTATTGCAGTTTAGCCAAACCTAAAAATGGTTTAGATTGTTGGAGTGTCTTTTCCAAAGCTGACTGTGTTATGAAAAACTGTTTGGAGAAGTGCAGGAAGAGTGGTGAGAATTATTTTTCTGTTGTGAGAAATGAGCCAAACTGATTAAGAAAAAGTGAAAGCATCTCATTTTTAAAGTGAACACAAAGCACCGTCAGATTCTTTTAGTGTCTTCTTAAAAAGACTAAAACTGATAATTAAATATCAAAAATATCAAATAACAGAATAAACTCAGCAATTATTATCCTGGAACAGGACACAGTCTGAGGTCCAAATGTTTCAGATCTCAGTAAAATTGTTTCATATTTTTATGTAAACCAAAGAATGAGAATTTAGAAACATTAGTTGTTGTAGTTGTGAGAGACTGCAGATTCATGAATTTTCACTAATTTGCTCAAAGACTGTTCAGAGCTAACACTGTGTCCAATTCACCAATGCTGAGAGAGCTGAAGAACTCTCTATGTTAAAATATATTTCATTTAAAACACTTCTTAAATAAAGACATAAATGGTAAAAATGTTTATCAGGAACAATTTATTAATGAAAAGCAGGAATAACGTTGATAAACATTTGGATTCATTATGTATTATTTGTGTGGTAGTTCCTCACTGTGACCACTGGAGGGCAGTGAACTCTCATCATAATCTACAGTCAACAGGACAAAAACACCACAGAGCAGTTTCTGTTCAGACATTCTGCATTAAAAGTACTTATTATGCTGTAAGTTACGATATGATAATAAAAGAGTTTCATCACAAAGTAAATCAAACAAGAAGTTCAGACGATGATGTTTCAGGAGTAACTATCACATCACCTGATCTGTAAACAGTGATGACATCACCGAATCACACAAAGGATTAAAAAAAACATCAGTAGCTCTTCTACGCAGGTTTTATCTGAATAATAACATCACATTTGTTCCTGTATTGATGTGATGAGAAGAAATGAGACCTGCTGAGGCCTCTGATACATTTATCAGCTATAGTAGGAAAATGGCTCAAATGTGCAGCTGCAACATGATTTGGTTTCAGTATATTTATATTTAATGATTTAAACTAATTTCATTTGAACTTTTTTAAGTTTCAATCATCTTTTACTTTCAAATTCACACTGATGTGTTCAGACTAAAGCTCTTTCAAACACCTTCTGAGCATCATCAGCGAGCTGGTCGAGGATCAAATTCAGAATTTTGTAAGTTA